CTAGATTTCTTGTTTTTGATCTAGTTTGAATTCTAGAATTCAAGGGAGAAATGAGATTATCAAGAGGGTGTGATGAACTATGCTTCCATCCTGACCTTGCAGCAGACTGATTTGGCAGATCATCATGATCTTCTTCATCAGGAGTGACGTCATAATCTGGGGAGTCTGATGTACTCTGGCTGGAGTTTTGAGTAGTACCAGGTAACCTATCATCCTGTTCAACCTCAGCATCCTCTTCAGGTAGACTGTGATTCTGATCATCACAATCATTTTTGAGTTGTTGATCTGCATCAGTTTCAGCACCTTCAATCTTCTTGGATTTTAGCATTTTGAGCACATCATCATCATCATTTGATCCATCATTCTTCAAGCTTCCATTTTCATCAAAAACAACATGAATGCTTTCTTCAATGCATTGAGTTCGTCTGTCGAATATTCTGTAGGCTTTGCTGGATGAAGAATATCCAACAAATACTCCTTCATCACTTCTAGGATCAAATTTTCCCAGATCATCCTTCCCATTATTCAGCACAAAACATCTGCATCTAAAAGCTCTAAGATAGTTCAGCATTGGCTTCCTCTTGTTGAGCAGTTCGTATGGAGTCTTGTTCAACACAACTCTTATTAGACACCTGTTGGTAACATGACATGCTGTGTTAACAGCTTCAGCCCAGAAACTTTGAGGAAGATTTGATTCAATAATCATAGTTCTGGCAATGTTCACCAAGGTTCTGTTCTTTCTCTCCACCACTCCATTTTGTTGAGGAGTTCTTGGAGCAGAGAAGTTGTGGCTTGTACCATTTTCCATACAGAATCTATCCAATGTTGAGTTTTCAAACTCTGTCCCATGATCAGATCTAATGCTGCAAACAACTTGATTCAATTTGGTTTGAATCATTTTGAAGAACACTACCAGTTCATTAGCTGTCTCTGCCTTTGATCTCAAAAATCTCGTCCAGGTGTATCTTGAATAGTCATCAACAATCACCAAGATGTACTTCTTTCCATTTCTGCTTTGAACCTTCAAGGGTCCACAAAGGTCCATGTGAAGCAGCTCTAAGGTTCTTGATGATGTAACTTGATTCTTGGGCTTGAATGATGATCTGATTTGCTTTCCTTTAACACAAGCTTCACATATTTTATTTTCAGCAAACTTCATTTTGGGCAACCCTCGGACCAGGTCCTTTGAAATCAACTTATTCAATAAAGATGAACTCACATGTCCCAGCCTACGATGCCAGAGATCAGCATTTTCATTTTGAGCACTGAGACATGTTAAGTCATCTCCATGAGAGATTTCCAAGTTTGCCACATACATATTTTTACTTATATGTGCAGTGAAAATTACCTTGTTTGTAGTTAAACTCACCACAGTGCATTTTTCAGAAGTAAATTTGACCTCATTTCCTTTGTCACAGATTTGTGACACACTTAGCAAGCTGTACTTCAACCCATCCACATGGTAAACATTGTCAATTGAATCTTCAAGAGATCTTCCTACTTTGCCAACTCCCAAAATGTACCCCTTCTTGCCATCACCAAATGAGACACCTCCACCTTGGAGGGTCTTGAGTGAGAGGAAGTTCTTTACATCACCAGTCATATGTTTAGAGCAGCCACTATCCATATACCAACATTGACTGCTGCCCCTCTCACTCACCTACACCAAAAATCACTTGTTAAGCTTAGGAACCCATTTCAGCTTGAGTTCCCAGTAGGCAGACAAAGGAGTGATCAGATTGTACTTGGCCCAATATGGTAGACTTTGAATCTTTCTAACAAAGGACCTAGGAGCAGGAACAAATTTTTTCTTTGAAAATCTGTGAGTTGAGACAGGTTCTTTAGGACCAGGTTTCTCATTTGGTACATTCTGTCTTTCAGCATAATTAGAGTATCTTTCACATGAGTTTTTCCAGCTAACACACTCATTCTTCAAATGTCCATTCTTACCACAATGCAGACACAACAGATTGTCAGACACAAACACATACTTACTGTGAGGATTATAAGGAGGATTTATGTTCAGACTTCCTAGTCCTTTCTTATTGAAATTACTCTGATTTGTCACATTTGACAGCAGTTTTGAGGATTTGGTCCACTTAAGAGATTTTTCAAGTTCCTCCTTAAGTTTCACAACATCCTGTTCTAATTTGTTATTCTTTTCAAGTGACAATCTGAGATTTGTCTCGGATTTTTTAATTTTTCTTGAATTTCAGCTTGCAAACTGTTTGGCTTTCCATTCAGCTTTTCAGCTTCTTCAGTAAACTGACACAACTGATGCTTAAGTTCAAAATTATTTAACTCTAGAGACACCATTCTTGCCATTGTCTCTTCAAATTGAACTTTGTTTTCAGTTAAAATTTCAAGTTCAGCATTCATGGCATCTCTTTCAGATGTTAAATCTATCACAGAATCTTGCATGACTTTTGCCAAGGTTCTTAATTTCTTAAAAGAATATTTATCCAAGTCAATTTTCATGTCAAGAAGAGTTACTTGATTGTCCTCTTCTTCATTTTCTGTGTGTGCCATGAGAGCAAACATTTCATTGAAGACAGTTTCCTCCTCATGCACAGCAACCATAGACACATCTTTTGGCTCATCAAGATCTTCTGAATCACTTGAAGAATCCCCCCATGCAGCAAGAGCCCTTTTGACAACCATATCAGCAACAACTTTACGATCTTTGTTTCCAAGTACCAGGTCCCTTCTGTTTTCTTTGTCACCCCTGTGTTTTTGATGTTCCTTGTTTTCAGTCTTGAGCAAAGGACACTCTCTGATGAAGTGTCCAGATTTTCCACACTTGTAGCAAGTATCTCCTTGAGCAGCATTTCGAGTCCCATTTGTTCCTCTTTTATACATTTTGTTTTTTCTCACAATCTTTTGAAATCTACTGATGAGATATGCCATATCATCGTCATCACTTAAATCTTCATCTGATTTATACTTCAACATCAATGATTTGTCCTTCTTGATTTCCTTTTTTGACAAATCATAGTTTCGATTCATCTCATGTGTTTTAAGATTGTCAATCAAGGCATCCATGGTCAGCACCTTCAAGTCTTTAGCTTCAGTAATGACATCAACTTTGCTCTCCCAAGACTTTGGAAGAATTCAAAGCACTTTCCTGACTTGTTTGGTCATGCTTATAGGTTCACCCAAACTTCGCAGCTCATTTGTAATAGAAGACAACTTGGTGAACATGTCATGTATAGTTTCTCCTTCCTTCATTTTGAAGTTCTCATATCGTGAGGTGAGCATGTCAATCTTGGATTCTTTGACTTGTTCAGTTCCTTCATGTGCAGTCAACAAGCAATCCCAAATTTCTTTAGCAGACTCACAGGCTGACACTCTGTTGTACTCTTCAGGTCCTATCCCACAGACCAGAAGAGTTTTAGCTTTGAAACCCTTTTCAATCTTTTTCCTGTCAGCATCATCATATTTCTGCCTGGGCATTGGAACAGCAATGGTCTTTTCTCCATCCTTTACTTCCATCATTGGAACAAAGGGTCCATCTAGTATAATATCCCATAACTCGCTATCTTCAGCCATGAGATAGTCGTGCATTCTAACTTTCCACCAACTGTAGAAATGTCCATTGAAACGAGGAGGTCTGTGTGATGACTGACCTTCTTCGAGGTTAAGTGGAGCTGCCATTCTTAGAACAAAATCACTTCCTTGGTGTTAACCAAATAGGTAGTGCCTGCTCTGATACCACTTGATAGAATATGTGCCTTCACTTAACAAGTAATGGACCAGGTCCCTTACTACACTTCAGAAGAATACCAGAAAGTTAAATGCAGTAAAATCAACACAATGATTTTACGTGGAAACCTCCTTGCTTAAGGGAGTAAAACCACGACCTGTCTCACAGGATTTTCAATTGTTTTCACTAATCTTCAAAAGCAAAAGTAAAACACGATTACACCAAACGTAAGAAAGAGTTATCAATCTTATCGTTAAGCAATAGTCCTCTATTGCTTAACAAGCCTAAGTAGAAAACAATCTACCCACTAAGCTATCCCACCTGGACAACCTAGACTTTTAACACAACACACCAAATCCTTTATAGATTCAGGAATGGTTTACAGTTAAGAACAAGAGAATGTATTCCTAAACAACTAGACGAAAAGCTCAAGATATTGTTGTTGTTCTTGGAATAATTCTGCCTTTACTTTGTAGAGCCTTTGCAAGAGTTCTTGAAAAGTTTTTATCAAGTTGCAAAAACTAAAACACAAATGTTCAGGAAAGTGTCTTTTATATGGGCAAGTCACTTTCCTAAACTTCTTTGCCATTGGTTGGAAAGGTCACACTTTTCTGACGCCATCGGGAAGTGTGCACCTACTTTCTGTACGTCTCCAGCTGGCAGTTGACTGGCTCATCATCATGAGGGCCTGGTACCTCTACTAGGTCTCTGGGTTTGTTTCATCTGCAATACTTCAAAGAAGACGCCTGCAATACTCAAGTAGAAAACCCGGTACCTTTATGAGGTCCCTAAGTTTGTCAAATCATCAAAACTACAAATAACAATAGTTTATCACCATCTTGTATGAGAGTGCTTCAAAAGTGAATTTACAGATGAAAACAAAGGAAAAAGATGATACAAAGGCCTTATGCAGTGATGGCAGATGATAACTTAAATAGGTATTATGAAAATTAGTATTACGAGTGGATTATATACGTTTTTGTAGTGCAATTAGTTGATTAGAGGTGACAAGTCTGCACTAGGTGTAGGGTTTGGCAGATGATGTGAATCATCTGGGCCTGAGCTGGAGGCAGACGATGATGATGTTAGAAGTGTTGGCATTGTGGCTAGAGATGTAGAAGTAACTGTAGATTCGATAAAAGTTGGTGTAGGTTAGACCTTGGAGATATCTAATGATCAGAAGATGTAAAGTAAGGTCACAACTAAAAAATTCTATTCTATTGATCTTTTTTGATAAAACAGTAATAGTGTTGGTCTTGTTTGTTTTATTATTCTAAATTTTTTCTTACTTCCACAGTCGTGCATAAATGTTGCGCTTTGCTTCGTTTCACCTGAAAATGTTGGTGAATGTATTCGTTTGACTGAGGAATTCCGCAAACTTCCCCAAGATCATGTCGCTAAAGAAGACAAATTAATGGTACTTCTCTTGTTTCATGTTTCTCAGAGTTGTTTATATGCTTCTGTTTTTTATGACCGTGTTCTTGCCAGAATTCCTCTTTGCACAGATTCAATCTTCATTAAATAGATTACTCCCTATCACCATTATTATTTTGGGGAGTCAAAACAGTCTAAAATGTCTAACTATCTTCAAATGTAAAAGATTTTTGAATTGGACTACTTTTTATATAGTTTCAAGTACATAAATTCTATTTTAAAAGTTTTGAGGAATCTGTCAATTAATTTCCGAGGTCACACCTATAATTAGATGTTTGACTCTATTACTCTGGACCTCGCCATTATTCTCAGGAAAGAGGGAGTATTATTTATAGGCTCTTCAATTATTCTGGACATATGTAGCTAAGTGTGACATGGATCTGTCTGTAAGGCTATAATTGAAACACAAAGGATGTTTCATTATTTACGCTTGAGGTCTTTCTTTTAATGAGTTTCAATTGTTTGGGGACATCTTTGAATCTCGTAGGGAAAATGAGTATAATGCAAACCAGACAAGTTCCTTTCCCTGGCAACAACAATGTCTCTCTTTTCAGTCTACTAAATCAGCCTTTCACTGTCCACCCAACCTTATTCTTATTTGAGCTTTTAAGGTTAGCTATAGTCAAGGTTCTTCTAAAGCGGGATAGCCATAGAAGCAGGCTGCTATCCTTCGGTTAAGGTATTAGTGTTTTTCCTATTATACCACAAATATCACACTTCCACTTTGTTCAAATAAGAGTTTGCATTGTTTCTTACCATGAAAAGACAATACCTTCCATGAAAAAAAAAGATCAAGTGGCTTTCAATAGTCGAGTAATGTTTAATGCTATGCCATACAATTTGAGTGATAAATGAGTTCTGTCGTAAGCATGATCAGTGTTGTTAGAAGTGAGCACTTCGTCGTTTTAATAATTTTCCATACAATTTGAGGGATAAATGATTTCCGTCTTCAGCACGAATCCAATTAATAAAATCCTTGGATTTCTTCATTTTGGATTGGACATCGTACTTTATGCTCTTTGTTATAGAATGTACAGACACATTTTCATGTAGAATACACAGCACAACCACTGATAGATTTATGGATTTCATATTTTGTTTTCCTTAGATAGATTATTTGTACACCTACAAATAACACTCCTTTTGGATTAATACAATATTGGAACTTGCTCCATTCTCTCTATATTTTACATGGCGTCAGAGTAGAGTTTTTATTTTGTTTCTTTTTTTTTCCTTTTCGAATCACTAGTGTTTTCCGGAAAATATTTTCTACTCACCAACCAAACATGAGAAAATAAGTCCAAAAGCTACTTCTTTTCCAGGAAAACATTTTCTAGGAAAACATTTTCCATGAAAAACATTTTCCTTCATACCAAACACACCCTAGATGTATAACAATCTATATCTTCTGTTTTCAGGCCATGCCACAAATCAGAAGGAAATCTTCTGCTACCAAAAATGAGCTGGTTAGAACTGTGGAAACTGATTGTGGGAGTCTTGTTTCAAGTCATCTTCTTTCTGCAGAAAAGGTATTAAAATCATCCTGTCAGCTTCCTTGTATGGTTTTTCTGAATACATCTTTAGATGTACAACAATCTATCACCTTTGTTTTCAGGCCATGTCACAGGCCAGAAGAAAATCTTCTGCTATCGAAAATGAGCTGGTTAGAACCACGCAACCTGATTGCAGGAGTCCTGTTTCAGATCATCTTCTTTCTGCAGAAAAGGTATTAAAGCCATCCTGTCAGCTTCCTTAGTATAGTTTTCCTGGATTTATCTTTAGATGCATAACAATCTATATCTTCTGTTTTCAGGCCATGCCACAAGCCAGAAGGAAATCTTCTGCTATCCAAAATGAGCTGGTTAGAACTTCTCAAACTGATTGCCTTAGTCCTGTTTCAAGTCATCTTCTTTCTGCAGAAAAGGTATTCAAGTCAACCTGTCAGCTTCCTTGGTATGGTTTTCCAGGATTTATCTTTAGGTGTATAACAATCTATATCTTCTGTTTTCAGGCCATGCCACAAGCCAGAACAAAAACTTCTGCTATCGAAAATGAGCTGGTTAGAACCACGCAAACTGATTGTGGGAAACCTGTTTTGAGTCATCTTCTTTCTGCAGAAAAGGTATTAAAGTCATCCTGTCAGCTTCCTTAGTATGGGTTTTCCTGGATTTGTCTTTAGGTGTATAACAATATATATCTTCTGTTTTCAGGCAATGCCACGAGCCAGAATAAAATCTTCTACTATAAAAAAATGGCTGGTTAGAACCGCGCAAACTGGTTGTGGAAAACCTTTTTCGAGTTATCTTCTTTCTGCAAAAAATGTATTGAAGTCATACTGATAACTCCCTTAGTATGGTGTTCCTGTATTATTTTTTAGATGTAGAACAATCTATATCTTCTGTTTTCAGGCCATGCCACAAGCAACTCAGCAAAGATCTTTGGATATTGTGAGACAGTCAGAAGACATTGCACATGCCAGAAGAAAATCTTCTGCTAGCGAAAATGAGCTGGTTAGAACCGCGGAAACTGATTGTGGGAGTCCTGTTTTAGGTCATCTTCTTTCTGCAGAAAAGGTATTAAAGTCATCCTGTGAGCATCCTTAGTATGGTTTTCCTGGATTTATCTTTAGATGTATAACAATCTATACCTTTTGTGTTTAGGCCATGCCACAAGCCAGAAGGAAATCTTCTGCTATCGAAGATGAGCTGGCTAGAACCGCACAAACTGATTGCGGGAGTCCTGTTTCAAATCATCTTTTTTCTGCAGAAAAGGTATTAAAGCCATCATTCCAGCTTCCTTAGTATGGTTTTCCTGGATTTATCTTTAGATGCATAACAATCTATATCTTCTGTTTTCAGGCCATGCCACAAGCAACACTGCCCACATCCTTGGACATTTTGGGACAGTTAGAGAACATGCCACTGGGAATGAAAATATCTTATGCTAGTGATAATGAGCTGGTTAGAACCCCTCAAGTTGATATTCGAGGTCCTGGTTTAAGTCGGCTTTTTAATGCCAGAAAGGTAGTGCAGTTATCTTGACAACTTCTTTTGATAACCAAAAGAACAAATCCTGATTTTGGATCGGGGTTGACTGTATTTATCTTTCATATGTAGCAATCTCTGTCTTCTCTTTTCAGGCCATGCTACAAGAAACCCTGCATGCATCCTCAGACATTGTGGGACCACTAGAGAACAGTTCTCCAGGCCAAATATCTTCTGATATTGAAAATGAGCTGGTTAGAACCCTTCAAGCTGATTGTCGAAGTCCTGTTTCAAGCCTTTGTTCTGTGGAAAAGGTAGTAAATTATCCTGTGAGCATCTTTAATATGTTTTTCCTGGATTTATCTTTCGATGTAACAATCTGTCTTCTATTTTCAGGCCATGCTACAAGCAATTCCACCAGCATCTTCAGATACTGCGGGACCACTAGAGGACATGGTACCAGGTCAAAGGAAAATATCTTCTGATATTGAAAATGTTACTACCCCTCAAGCTGATTGTCGAAATACTTTTTGCAGTCATTTTCTTTCTTTGGAAAAGGTAGTAAATCATCCTGACAATTTCTTTAATATGTTATCCTGGATTTATCTTCCTTCTTTTCCTATGCATGAAGCAGGATCGACCCGAGGAAAGCACATCTGTACCTAATCTGAATCGAACTCCAACTATAATTCAAGATGTGAACTCAACTTTCCACAAAGTAGAATCATTCCTAAAGTCTATCCCGAAGGATCATTTTTGTTCACTATCAGGTACACCAAATTCTAATCTGGAGTCTGCAAAGGAAACAGTAAAACATTTTGTTGGAGGACCATTGAAGATGTTGGCGGACCCAGCTAATGAAAAGGTATTGAAGGAAGCAATTAGCCTATTGAACGAGAATCTCTCGTCATTCACTGACGAACAAACCAAGCTGTTGGTAAAGATCAAACATATATTCCCATCAATGGTTCAAGACCTGAGGGACGCAAGCCAAGCCGAGTCTAGTTGCCAAGACTTCTTCATTGATCTTGAGAAGCACAGGAAAACTTTAGATGACTTGAGGAACACTGACATGGAATTGAAGTTAAAGTATGATCAAGAAGAGGCTGAAGAGAAAGAAATGGAAACTATGCTTATGTTCCTTAGGAAGAGGAAGGCTGAAATTCTAGAGAAAAGACGTGAATTATCTGTGGAGGCTAACCACACTATGTCTTCAGCAGGTAAGATTGAAGACACCAAAATACTGTTGGTCAAGGCTAAAGAGAAAATTGATAACTTGAAGAGGCAACGGTCTGTTCTTAAACCTATGCATCTGTAATTTGAATGCCAACTCTTGTAACTGGTGGATAGAGCAATGCTAGTGCTAATCAGTGCACTCTTTTGAAGAAAAAAAAACAAAAAGATCAGGGAAGGGACATTTTAAATGGTCTGGTTTTTGCTGTCGATGAAGTGAGTTAAGGGTTCGGTATGATCAATCTGTTTAGGGTTTATTGGCTATCCTTGTGAGCAATCATATGGAAATTGCCCAAGATTTCGAATGGAGTTAGCTCTCAACTGCTGTGAAAGGTTAACTAGGAAACACAAATCCTCTTATGAAAAATGACATGATGTGGTAAATTCATGTTTTTTATGCAAGAAAACACTATAAAATACTTTTTGATATTAAAAGGGTGTTGTACTTTCAAATTTAAGTGTATTTTTTGTATAGAGAAAATTTCATCTCTTTCTCTGTGTATTCTTGTCCTTTGTAACAATTTTCAGTGGTACCTTTATATAAATTAGTATGAATAGTTACATTGCACACGATGCCAACACAGCCAAAAGTTCAAATTTTAGATCGTAAATAAAAAAACAACTTTTGATGATTGGGTGCTCCAAAAAAAAAGTTAAAATCTAATCAAACATTTCACAAAATTATAAAAACATTTAAAATAGAATTAACAATTGTATGATTTAAAGCAAAATAGGCATTTGTTGTATATGCATCTCAATTACTCATCAACTATTTTAAAAAAAATAAATTAATAGAATTATTCAATTATTTTTAGACAAAAAATAATAAAGTATTATCGTATTTCACTTTTACTTGTTCAATTTACCATATAAATATTTTTTTTTCTTTCTATTTTACCTGTTTGCTTATTCCCTTAAATCATTTTTCAAAATTTTTTGAATCATTAACAGTCTTAAAAACAGTAATTGAGAAGTGTATAGCTTCACTCCACACTCCATTAGTCATTACTTCATTATTCTTTAACTAATTACACTTAATTTAAGGATTAATAATTGGACTTTTTAGTATTATGTACTATATAATTAGGTCTTAAAAACAGTCTTATCACATAAATTTTATTTGAGAAGTGTACTCCAAATACTACTCCATTATCCTCTAACTAATTACACTGAATTTAAGGATTAACAAATGGAGTAAGGTAATACATTATTTGTCCATTTTTTAAAAATGTTGTTTCTTTGTTCAAATAAGTAGTCAAATTCTAACAACTCTCTTCGCTATATATTTGATGAACGTTTATTATTAGACTTTAATTACTCCCACAAGGTAATACTTCTACTTAATTTTCCCATATTAATTAGTTCATTTTATAATGTGCTTAATAAATTAATAAAATGATGATTTTCCTAATTTATCTCTTAAAGAACTTCTTGGAAATTTTACAATAAATATGAATACTTTAAAAAAAATTGCATGGATAATATAGAAATAAATAAATTAATGTTTTCTTGATTTATTAAGGTGATATAATATGAGACAAGTATATTCAATATAATGATGAACTAGTATGAGACAGAGATGGCATATTATCACCACTATCTCATATTAGATGAACATCTTACTATCTTTGGAAGTTAAAACAAATTTTGAAGATTCTATTTTTTTTTAAAAGGCTAATTAATTAATTTATATGAATAAAGGACAAAATAAAAAGTATTTATCAAATATGAGACGGAAGGAGTACATACATTAGTATAGAGAAAACAAATGTAGAAATATTTAACAACGTGACATAATTGAATGCATAACCACACCCATAGAAAAAGACAATTAGGAAACTCTATAAATTTAATTTGTGTAATAGCCAATGGATTAACTCACCACTAATCAAAATTAAAGGAGCAAAATATACAATTACTTTTCTAAAAGTTCAAAATGTTTGTAAAAATTAATGTTGCATCATTCCTAATTGCACTTTTTGTGGTACTAACTGAGGGTCGTAATGTGATAGAGAGATTTGATGAAGATTATGAGGATTCAATTGGAACTAAATGGGCTGTGTTAGTAGCTGGATCAAAGGAATGGTATAATTACAGACACCAGGTAATATATACATGTATTTAATATTAATGTGATACTACACGTACGTGTGCTAACTTCATATGAATCAGTACTGAAAATCACTTTCTTCCTGCGGAATCGAATTTATCTTAAAATTGAAAGAAATTTGAGGTTGAATAAGTTGATAACAATAATGTAATGAAAAGAGAAAGATTATTTAACTTAATTTAAATTAATTATAGTAAAAGAATTGTTTCTAACATCGATTAATTTTTTTATTTTGAGCTAATAATTTCAGGCTAATTTATGTCACGCTTATCAACTGCTGAAGAAAGGAGGCCTAAAAGATGAACACATTATTGTATTCATGTATGATGACATTGCCAATAATCCCGAAAATCCTAGACCTGGAGTTATCATAAATAACCCACATGGTCATGATGTGTACAAAGGAGTACCCAAGGTACATACTCATGTGTTTTGAACTTTATAACGACAACTTCGACTGTCAATAACATATATTATTTGAGTAAAATTTAATGAATTCAATTAAACTCGTTTTTAAACTTCTAATTGCGCCTCGAAATTAATGTATGTATAATACTTGTAGGATTACACAGGAAAAGATTGTAATGCTCAAAACTTTTATAGTGTTATCTTGGGAAACAAAAGTGCTTTGACTGGAGGCAGTGGAAAAGTTGTAAACAGTGGTCCAAATGATTATATTTTCATTTACTATACTGATCATGGTGCACCTGGGCTAGTTGGTAAAAATTAATTTCTTACTCTACCTAAACTATAATATAAATTATTTTTCACCAAATTTTTTAATCCAATTTTTTCATGTTTAGGTATGCCTGAAGATCCACCGGTCTATGCCATAGACCTCAACGAGGTGTTGAAAAAAAAACATGCTTCTAGGACTTATAAAAAAATGGTAAGTAATTTTTGCTTTGAATCAATTATATATGTCGAAATTGAATAATGAACATATATATGTTATTAATTAATTAGGTATTTTACTTGGAAGCGTGCGATTCTGGAAGCATGTTTGCCGACCTTCTTGATGAAGGTTTAAATATTTACGCAACGACTTCATCAAAACCCGATGAAGATGGTTGGGCTACGTATTGTTATTTCACCGGTGATACATCTTGCTATGGTGAGTGTCCACCAAAAGACTTCAAGGATAATTGCTTGGGAGATTTGTTCAGTGTTTCTTGGCTCGAGAATAGGTATGTGTATATGTTTGTTACATTAATAATTTATTAATTTGATTGAATTAAAAAAAAAAAGTGATATGCTATATGTTAAATTAAACTAAACTATACTTTGTACAAACCAGTGATTTGCATGATCTACAAGTTGAAACTTTGGAAAAGCAATATCTACGGGTAATTTTATTTTGCCATCATATAGTTGAGGAGTACGTAGTTGTTAGTTTTTTTATTCGAAATGTTATAAATGTAATTCCTAATTTCTCATTGATTTTTTTTAAAAAAAAATCGATCAGATTCATAAAAGAGTGTTGAATAATGGCACACATGGTTCCCATATGATGCAATATGGTGATTTACATATAAATAAGGATGCACTCTCCATATATATGGGTTCTAATTCCCCAAAACATACTTCGTCTGCCAATAATAACAACGCCTCAAACTCAAGACATGTCAATCAACGCGATGTTCAACTCTTGTATCTCATATCCAAGGTGATTAATTAATCTTACATCACTTTATATTTTGTATGTAACTACGTAAAACAATGTTTAACTATACAATTAATTTCACAGTTTCAGAATGCTCCGGAAGGGTCTAGAAGAAAAAATGAAGCTTATAGGAAACTAAGTGAAGTTATATCAGAAAGAGAACATGTAGACAAGAGTGTAAAACATATTGGACAAATTTTATTTGGAGTTGAGAATGGTCAAAAAGTGCTCAACATTGTTAGACAACCCCTTGTTGATGATTGGCATTGTCTTAAATCCTTTGTAAGTATATGCTACACGTCTATATGTTATAATAACAACGATCATATATACATTGACAATATAAAAAAATAAATTAATATTATGACGTTGATGTACAGGTGAAGATATTTGAGTCGCATTGTGGATCATTGACTAGCTATGGTAAAAAACACATTCGTGGATTTGCTAATATGTGTAATGCTGGAATTCAAAGGGACCAAATGGATGCAGCTGCTAAACAAACATGTTCTTCTTAATTAAGGAATTAACTAATTACTGATCATGTAGCTTTTATTAAGCAGCTTCATCATTATTATTAATAAATCGTATGACTACTATTGCTAATTATCTTTGCATCTGTAATTTGAATGTCAACTCTTATATGTCAGAATAAGAACCGATAAAAATATGAAGAATACAAATAAAACTTGCTTGGCTTACAGGCATGTTAAAAACGCTTTTTGAAAATAATTGGAGTTTCTCCCATGAGCAAACGAAAGAATAAATAATAACTTTATCTTCGAAATTCAATGAAGCCACAAACAAGTAGAATTAAAGCGTGTTGCTTTTCTATTCTTAAATTGGTGATACTGCCTTTAAATTAATGTCTCACAAATATTTTTTTCAACGAAAAATAGCTTTTTTTTTTAGTGCGTATCTTTTCACATAAAAGAAACTCAATTTATATGACAAAAGTTTGCATGAAAAGACTTCAATTAAATTGCATCTTTTATAGATTTATAAGTTGAAAATAAAACTTATCTTTCAGAAAACCTATAATCTAGAACTAAAACAAAATATATCTTCCATAAGATTTATAACGTCGAATTAAAATAAGAATAAATATTGCAATTTACATTCATGTATTTAATTATTTCAAAACTTTTAACGAATGAATTTATTTCACAATTAATCGAAACATAGAGGGCAATATTAGTGCTAATTAGTGCATTTCTTTTGAATAAAAATAAATACAAAAAGAAAAGGAGAAGGGACAAATTCTCTTTTTAATAATACTTTTTTATATTAAGAGGGTGTTGTAAGTTTCAAATTTATCCTGGATGAAAGTCAGTATATTTATGTATTCTTGTCCTTCAAATCCATTTATGCATCGACTCTAATGTTGTAACAATTTTCAATGGTACCTTCAGTTGACATCCTTGTATTTTGTATGAATAATTGCATTCCACACTTTATTGGCGACGTAATCGAAAATTTTAAAAAGGGCATTCAAAACTATAGATCATAAATAAAAAATTATCCCCGTAATTAAGGAAAATCAAACGAAGAAATGTTTGAAAAGATTATAAAAACCTTTAAAATAGAATTAATAATTGTATAATTTAAAGGAAAATATCTAAAACACAATATCCAGTAATGTAAGATTTATTATTATTATTATTATTATTATTATTAGGGAAAATTGTATATAATAGCAAACTAATAACCTAAATTAAATGGAATAGCTAGGGTTTGATTTAATTGTGCTCCATAGCAAACATTAACTAAAATTTGCCAGCGTCTCTCTCCCAAAAATCTCGCTCGCCACTCTCCATTCTCGCTCGCCTCTCTTGCTTTATACACAGAAGTGTACAATTCTGTTTCTATTTTGTATAAAGCGAGAGAAAATTGTATATACACATGCAAAAATGTATATCTTCGTGTCATACACTTAATTATACAATTTACAAACGTTTTACTTCAAATATTGCGGAGAAAAAGGTCAACAAATTATACAATTGTGAATTATACAATTGCAGTGAAATACAATTTTCTCTAGCTTTATACAACATAAGTGTATATATTGTTTTTCTGTTTTTGTATAAAGCGAGAAAAACATATATCTTCTTGCTATACACTTATAATTATGCAATATACATACCTTTTAATTCGATTCAACTGTATGCAAAGCGAATTATACAATTGCAGCAAAATCGGCCAACGAATTATACAATTTAGGCCAGCGAATTATACACTTGTATATGTATAGCGAATTATACAGTTTTTATGTTTGTTATGGAGCGCAATTATGCAAAGTTTGCTATAGCATACAAATATGAATTTTTTGTTTGCTATATGTGAAAGTTGCCCTTATTATTATTATTATTATTATTATTATTATTATTATTATTATTATTATTATTACACGTGGGGCATGCTAATCTTCACAATATCGTTTCAATTTTATCAAATATCTAAAAAGGGCGAATCTAAGCTTTGTAAATTATAGGATCAAAATATTTTCGAAATAGAGAGAGAAAAAATTAAGAGAGGAGAGAAGTAAATCAGAATTCCCCAAAATAGGGTCTAAGACAAGAGTATTATACACTATTCTCAAATGATCACTTCAATTCGAAATATACTTTAGAAAAATGGCATAATACATAAATATATTTTTTAATTTAGGTTCACTTTATATTTATGTCCTCTAACTTTGAATATGCACAAATAGATACTTAAACATATCTAAAATTGAATAAATAAACACATAATTCATACATGTTACAATACACACAAAAAAACACCACATAACACACAAATTTCCATCTCGAATGCAACAAGTGCCGCTACTTCTTAATTCTATACACCTAATTAAATTATAATTATATGATTTTGATTGGAGGATATCCTAGGGTGAGTATCTAATTGGCTTTAGAGCCACTTTCCTTCCATTAAGGATGTTACAGGGCTTGGGGTTTAAAATTGGTTGGAGATTATTTTAAAAAGGATAAATTTTAATCAATCACATTATTTTAATATGAAGTTACAATCTATTCCTAGCTCGAATACATTAAATACTGGTTTGGATACATTAATATGTAGCTCAAATATACTAAAAAAATAAGAAATTTTAAAAGTTTTTAAAAATAGAAGGGATATTGAAAATAATGAAAACATAAGACGTGTATTTTAATAATTTTTCATTTTAAAAATATAAGTATTATGCAATGATTGACATATTACAAGTTAATAAATACATTATTAGGGTTGGACTCCTTCTTTCACTTGAGGTTAAAATAGTTGATGGTGTAACTAATTCAAATTTTAGATTTTCTTTTTCATATATAATGATTCAAGTTTTAATACATTGAAATATGTAATTGATTATTAGGTGAATTATATTATACGAATATCATTAAATTATGATATTGGAAGATTAAGACTTAAGTCTAGACTTGAAATTTAGAAAACATAACAGTTGAAATGTTAATTGGCACCAAAATATATATAAGAACTTGATCATATATTTTGAGTGAGTTTTAGGGTCTAGGTTAGACCTATAGTAATATGGGTGTTAGTTTTGAAATCTTATTGTGGTTATTTATGCGAATAGATTGCTTTGAGTTGGAAGTACAACAAAAAGGCAAGTCTCAAGTCCAGGAGTGGTTGTTCAATTATTTGAGGCAAATGGATTTCTAAATTTTTGTTAAGTGCATAGAGTCCTATATTTTTTTGTGGTATGTGTTGGATAGTAATAGGACTTGATGATGAGTTAACTTGTCCAAGTTGAATAATTCTAAAGATGAAAAAGTTGTAATAAAAGGCAATGTGATTAATTTTTGGAGTTTGATGTGTTAAAAATGATTTTGAAAGGCTTATTGATTCATTGTCGTTGTTGTATCATGATTGCGTTGTTGTGAATTGTGCAATGTTATGAAAATGGTTATCTCCTCATTATTGTAAACATGTCATTTGCATTGTTTTGATATATGATTGTGACAAGTGTTATGTGAATTAAGAAAAAATAAGAAATTAAAGAGAATGTACCAATTCAAGGGACGTGTCGCGTGCCGCAACTGATACTATATATCGAAAAAAATGTATGGCACGTCGCTATGGATACTATATATTGAGGGACGTATAGCGCGTCGCGATGAATATCATATATCGAGGACGTATCGCACGCCACGATGGATGCATGAACAAATATGTTCCCCGTGGGTCTTAGACTGTGAGACAGCGCGAGTGTATATTATTAGGTTAGACATGAATCACTATACTTGACATTGCATTTCATTACATTGCACATCTTTATCATTGATGAACTTGATCTTGTGAGTGCCTTTATGTGAAAGTTGTGATTGAGGAATAATGATTTTTTATTGAGGATATATAATTTTTTGTAAGTGTTGTTGTTGAAATGTGTGTTATGTATACTATGAACAGTTGGGTTGGATTGGTTGTATATAGGTTGTAATTGTGGAGGTTCGGTTGGGGTGTAAGGAGTACTCGTATTCTATTCCCTTAGTTTGTGTTTAGAAATTTACTTACAAGCAACTTACAAAAATGACTACATTTATAGGGTTATTGAAGTTCAATAGTTATAAATATGTTATTTACTAGAAATGACTACACTTTATGTCAATTTTTAGGTGCATGTTTGTATTAAATTTTATTGTTATTATTATTATTTATACAATGCACTAAATAAGGTATGATATGTTACCATAATTTTCAAGTACCAACCATTTATTATGTTCCTAAATAACTGAAATTTTCATTATTAAATTACCAACTAATAATGACATATTGTATGCAAATATGATTGGTCCACATAATACAAAAGATTGTATTTGTATTCCTAAATAAAATATATTCACTAAATATTAATTATAAGGGTATTCATAAAATTTTAAATATAAAAGTTTATTCATGTCTTTTCTCGTTGTATTTTTGCATATGTTTTTATTTTATATTTGTTTATACACTAATACAGTTGTAATTACAATAACTAAATAAGAAAAATGTATTACTTGTACAATTAGCATATGAATATTTTGAGTTCAAATTGGTGTTTCTATTTATAAAATTTAAAGTATTAATATATCAAGGGTACAAGTATTTATAAAAATTTAATGTATTAATACGTTAAACAAGATAAAGTAATACAATTTTAGAATATGAGTACAACAATTTGAAAAATGGATAAACTATTGTTAACCAAAAAAATGAATACACCAATATACTATAATATGAATACACTGTTGTTAAATAAGAAAATGGAAAAACAATAGAATGTGTATGTATCAAAGTGTGTAAGTATTTGACTATATCAAAAAATTAAAAAAATCAACAAAACGCCGATCTATTTTTTGTAAAGTTTTCTATAATACTTGAGGCTTGACTTAACTTAGATATTTATTTATAAAAATATAGTATTGATGTATCCAACTATACTTGTATTGCCTAATCAAATTGGATAAATTACTTTTGTATCCAAATATATTTGTATTCACAAATCACCATTTTATTAATATTACAATACAATTATCTATGTATATAAGTATTATTAAATATAAACATTTGACATTCGACTGAACCACAAATATAAGTATAAATATAAGTAT